CTTGAACCTACCTATAGTCTCCATTGTAGTTCCTTTTTGGGGGATGCCTTATAGAATCCTTAATATATAATTGGTTAAACCAAAAAAAGGAACTACAATGGAGACTATAGGTATATTTCTGGGATTCTGGAAGCCTTAAACCGTAAACCCTGAACGAAACCTTAGACCCAACAGCCCTAAGCCGCTGACCTCAACTCTAGTAGACCCTAAAGGTTTAGGGTTTAGGGTTTAGGGTCTAGGGTTTAGGGTTTAGGGGCCCTAAACCCTCATCGGAACTGAATACTGTTCGTACCGGGAGCCGGGACACTTGCCTGGAAGTGGGACGTAAATGGCAAAGACTGGGAATTACGAGTCACTACAATGTAAGACGGCGGCTCTGGAAGAGAAGGCCCGGATTACTTGCAAGAGGGTTGTTCGGTATATGTTGGCATACCTATACTGAGGGAATATCAGGGGACACAACTAGGCTGATTCGTCATGTCCCGTAGTTTGTGTCAAGCTGTGTCTACTTCGTGCATCTGAAACTGAGCGACCTGAAACGAAGACTCTAAGACTACCAGAATGTTTGGATCAAGCCTCGCATTCCGACACCTTCCCGAGACCCGAAACAAGCGGTACTATAAGGGGTTACTACCACACTATGAAGGAAAAGCTTCCTATCATCTGGAGACTTACATCCTGCAACCTGAACCCAAAACCCACCCCTGCGCGCCTAGAGGACAGAGCATGAATTCCTGGATGGAGGCAGCTTGGAGTTGATGCTCTACACATCTGCTGTGCGTCTGTGTCAGTCTGTCTGTCTGCACCGGAGTTTCGCTTCTAAAGTAGTTGTGTGTCTTGGGGACTACAAGATTTCCGCGCAGATGCTGCAAGGTTAGGACCAGGAACGCGTTTTGAAGCTCATAAGGCTTCAGGGTTTGAGGCGAGAAAATACCTGTGCAGTCTTAGTTTTGGCGGGTGATTTTAGTGTATGCGCCCACTATTGGCAACTATATTTGGGGGTTTCCGAAAATAGGGGACCCTAATATAGTACCCCCAAATAGTAGGATCCTTATTATAAGGACCCCAAAGTAAGGTACCCCTCATTTTCGGAAACTCCCGTTTGGGCCCCTATAGTACCGCGCCGGGTGTCCTTTGTATCTGATCCCAGACCTCGAACCTTGCCTTGCGGCCGGCAATTGGCCTGCGGGTCTTTTTGTTGCTCTGCTTTACTCCTCAGGCTTCCGTAATATGGCTGTAAAGTACACAAGAGCCTACTTTACCCTAAACCCTAAACCCTAAACCCTCTTTTTATGAAGACCCCGTTCTTGCTCTAGACTCCCTTTGCTGGTTGCAGGGGGCAGAAACCTCTCGTGGCCACCTGCCGGATCGATCTGTAAATTACGGTACTATGACATGAGGGAGCATACTCAAGTTATGCAGGGACCATGAGGGAGTGACTACTCAAAGAACCCCAAAAACACATGAATTTAGGAATATACCCTAAATTATAGGGGCCTTAATATTATGATTTCAGGTAAATTCCTTAATTAAGGGGTATTGCATGGGTTCTCTGGGTACTAGTAGTTATTCAGACCTCTGTACTCCTGACTCCTTTGCAGGTTGCGCAGAGGAACGAATCCAAGTGATTAGGCCAGAAACTACGCCCATGACTCTCCCCCAACCCGGCTCGACCCCGGCCAACCCTCTATAAAGTCACTTACAAGCTGAGGGCCGTTTGGCTGAGCTTATTAACCTTCAAACCCCTGACATACTATATGATGCTTACACTTATATGGATTAACTCTTGTATATGATGCTTACATGGATTAACTCTTCTATAGACGCATCGCTATGCCAAAACGCCTTGGGAATGCTCATCCTCGGCTTGATAAACTGTGTCCTCGGCGGCGGCTGGCGAAGAGGAGGGTGACTCCGGAAACTACGCCAGAAGTAGGTGCAACCACAGACTTGTTCACTTGCTGCGTCTCCAGGCGGAGGGAGATAATCATGATTATCAACTGCGTGCGTGGGGTCAAATCTGTGAGGCAGCTGACTTGTACCATTAGGAGCAACGACAACAAGTCGGCTGATGCCAGCGCAGGCTGCTAATCTGTGACGGGTTTGGACGAGTTGGCCATGCAAAGATTGGCCACGTTATTGTCTGACGGGCACATATAAAGGCGAAACACGAAGACGACGTGCTGCAGGAACTCTCACACACACAGAGATTGACGAATGAATCTCACAGACCCATGAGACCCCAAACCGCAAGACACTGAGCTTACTCTGAACAGACAAAACCATATATATATATATGTAAAGCCTTAAACCCTGATTCCAAAAGCCTTACAGCCCAATCTTCCCAAATCCGAAATAAGCTCATAGGAGGAACACTCATAGCAAGCCATCGACGGTGGTTTAGGGTTTAGGGTTTAAGGTACCTCAGAACCGGAGAACCGAAAGAAACACACACCAGCACAGATCCCTTCGAGCGCGCTGCTCCAGTCTGATGTTCAACCGCCTTCGTTCCAGGGCCTGCAACATCTGATCGTAACCTGGGTAGACGGATTCTGGGTCTTGGGGAGTGCCTCTCCTAATTTGGGAGTAGGGTTATATAGGGTTATATAGGGTTTAGGGTATATAGGGTTTATAGGGAGTCAGGGATTTTGCATCGTGATTGGGTGGGCTGGACATAAGATTTGGGCTTCAGGGCTTACAGCTGATACGCGGAACGGTGCAGCTTGCACACTGTCCTGTAATGGGCTTCCTCGAAGAAAGCCGAGGTTGTGGCTGCAATCCTTCATTCAAGGATGCTGGGTGCCTTTGTATTTATAAGGCTGAAGATACCTTTACCTCTAGATTTGCGGAGCCGGCCTATCGTTCAGGTAACTGCAGCGCACTGGAGCGGGGAGCCATACTGATGAACTAATGTATGGTCCTTCGGCATGCGCAAAAGTTTTGTGAAGGATAATACGTGCTACAAGAGGATACAATTGCAACTTTTAATTGCAGTATACCTTTAGTTGGGGACTGTACCGGGACAGTGCTACAATTTACTCCGAACCCTGTGTTCTAAAGGGATCGGAAATCTTCCGCACTCAGCTGGCAGCTTTGGCGTTTCAGCGGGTTGCTGATTGTCTCGTACCTTGGATGGCAGTTTCCGGGTTCGGTCCTGACCGGCCCTTTCGATGCCAGGGTTGATGTTGCAGGGCACACGGGATATAAACCTGATACACGGGCCTGAATTACAAGTATCTTGATGATATGTACAGTACACTCTACTCCACAACCCTATTCTAGTTATCAAGGCGCCTATCTTAGATGAGGAACTGACGAAGCTCCCTTCTGCAAGAAGAGCCTTGTTCCTACAAGGCGGGAAGCACCCTGTGAACTAGGATGGCTCTGATAGGGTTCAAGATTTTTACGGTACATAATCAACAAGCGAAACTTGTGGCTGCATTTCTTGAAGCGTGTGGACACCTGCTATCCTGAGCTTCCGGCTTCCCTGCTGACCACCAAATGCAGATGTTACAAACACACATACAGAAATGTTTGCGGACTCTACTACAAGTGCAAGACAAGCCACGCCAAGTTGATCTGGCGGATCTTGACATCCGCTTCCTCTCTCGCTGAAGGATTCTTGTCGGGATGCCACTGCAGGACGAGCTTGCGATAGCCTCGGACGCGCTCAGCCATTCACTCCAAGGTCCGCAAACTATATATATATATATATATACATGTATACACACACATATATATATATATACACACTCTCTTTTCACATCGACAAAGGTATATGTGCGTGACAGTGAGTCTGCATGCACGAACATACAAGACTATATTTAATTAATCGCTTCCCGCTAACGAATATGGAAGGCCTCGTGCTGTATTAGTTTTCATGGAGTCAAGATTACAGCAGTACTAATCAAACCGAAAGGACCAAAGCTGTAGGGCTTAGCGGCTTAGTGCTTGGGGCTTAAGGTTTAGGGCTTTAGGGCTTCGGCTTAGGGCTTTAGGGCTCGGGACTTAGGGTTTAGGGCTTGGCTCACTAGTCACCGAAATCCACCAACATATCAAAACCAAACCACCGGAATTTTTTCATATTATATATATATATATACCTATTTTGTGTTTATTATTTTTTTTTGTGGAGGGGGGCCCTTTAGTATTAAGGAGAAGCGATTACACCGCATTAAATGACGAAACCAAGCGCCAGGTATGACGTTTCAATGGGATCTGCTAGCCTCCAAATGCCAAGCTTCTGTGGTCCGAAACCTGGAATCCATCATTGGTGAGGGGGATTTGTAAACCAAGGCTGCCCGTAAAGGATTCCACAACTCACCCAAGCCTGCAGGCCAAACCCTTTGAATTTCCCAAAGAAACATGTGCATGGATCACTATAGAAACCCACCTTTCTGGAAGTCTGTAATTAGCCCCTACCTGGACCCCAAAAAGTATGTAGAAGAACGGCCTTTCCGAGGTTTTGGACCATTATTTGCTTATTTTGTGGGGTTTTCATGTAGATGGTACAGACTGCGAGCTCCCAGTCCCACAGCGTAGGAAGCAGTCAAGCCGCTCTTTTTGATGGCTGCATCGTCTGCGCGCAGATCGATGCCTAGAACCTTTGGTGTGCTTTGGGGTTCGAATCTGCAGGCAGCATAATACGGGGGCCCTAAGAATTGGAAGAGGGTTTGGGGGTATATTCTACTACAATTATCATAAGGAGCCCCCCAAGATAGTATGGGTAATTATTTAAGCCCCTAAAGTAAGTATATATAAGCAGCCTTCAGGCTCCTTCTAAGGGGCCATGTACCTATAGCATGGCTTTTAGTGAAGCCTTGAAGGTCTCCTTGGATGAATGTATATACTGTTTAAGCCTGACCTCATATCAAAACCTATATCTGTATCTATGTACATATTTCATATGTACATATATATATATATACACATACTTACCTACGTAACAGACATACATATGTACAAGATTAGCATCTACATTTGGGCGATGGTTCGAGGGTTCGGTTGCACCTGGAACCTGAAATGAAGCCCCACTTTGTTAGGTTGCCTTAGTTTCGTAGTTATAGATATGCACAGATGATCCTCGTCAATGTAATACTACATTCTAGCGCCTAGGTGCGGCAAAAGGCCGTACAAATGACGAGCTTCCATCAAGAACTCAAGCGACTCAAGCGCCCCAGTACGGTTTTGCTCGCCACTTCGCCCGGTAACGTAGACTGCCTACCTGCTGAGCCCTAAGAGGCTAGAAAAGCCCGATTTCGCACGAGAACTTGCTGTCCCTCGAACCGGCAGCAGCGCAATCCGGTTGGCACAGGCTCAACTTCCGTCACCTATCGTGGTTCCTTCCCGCATGGGATCCGTCTTAACCTCGCATCTCAAAACCCGGCAGCATTTCCACGTACGAACCTACACCACACAGACGTCTCGCTCCTGCTCTTGCAGCAGTTTCTAGGCATTCAGACCCAACCCCTAAGCCCCATAATTAATTCCTTCACTCCCCGGGGCCCCATAATGCATAGACTCTGAAAGCTGGATGAAAGGTCGGCCTCGTAGTGGCTCGGTGGCTCGTTGCTGGGCTTTGCCATGGGTTTTGGCGCGGTGCCTGCCGCACCAAGCGAGTGAGGCTTGGGCTGGGACTTTTAAGTACGCATGAGCACGAGAAGCACTACGACTGCTGGCACGATCGCCCCAAGGAACGCACTAGTCAATATTTACAGCAGTGGCACTACAAAAGGACGGGGTTTAGGTGGAAAAGGTTGGGCGTGGCGAACATACCTTCCTCGTTTCGGTGAGCCTCAGTCGTCATTGAGTAAGCAAGGCTCGGGGCCTAGGCCTAGGCAAATCCTGAAGCCCACCGCCCAGGTTGCGGATTCAGAGCATTCCTACATCCTACACAGAAGTCTTTTAGTCACCCCCGTTCGGGCAGGGGGGGGGGGGGGAGAAAGCGACGGATCAGGAATTGTAGGCATTCCCCTGCGGCCGTGCACCAAGTAGAGGCCCTATACTTTTTTGTGGGTTCCTTACTGTAAGTACGGCATAATATACCCCCAAACCCTATTCTAATTGTTAAGGCCTCTAGATCACATGGTTTTAGGAATTTAGGGTTTAGGGTTCTTGGGCGTGAAGGCTTGGAGTTCGGCGATCCGAGCTTTAAGATTCCTCCTTTCACAAAGGGGGCCTTAATCAGTAGAACAGGGTTTTGGGGTATATTACGCGATAATTAGAACAAGGAACCCCCCCCAAAAAAAAAATGTGGGTAATCGTTCAGGCCCCTAGATTAGCGTGTCACCAACAGGCATGCGCGCAACGTCTCAACCCTGCGGCTTGCGAAGCCGCTCTATTTCCCAGGTTCGACCGCCCGGTCCCGAGTACTGTTTTCCATGACCTTTCTGTCGTAAAGTCCTGACAAATGCTGAACTTCAGCTTAGAAGCACACACGAAAACCTCGGTCCTAGAACTTGCGCCGATCCGTTTTGTCCAGAGCCTGCTCGAATCACACAGACCCCTGAAAAATAATCCGCCTTGCTTGGCTTTAGTACGAGGATCCCCTGCTGAGGGCAATGGGTCTTCAATCTGTGGTCTATACTTATCGTATACTCTCCCGAAATAGAAATGTGACTAATTACTACGATTACGATTACCCTGAACCTCAGCACTCGAGTATTGTGCACTTGTCGTCTTCGTTAGGGACACCTTTAGGCTCCCCACCCCCTTAAACCCTAAACCCTGCCCTAAACCCTAAACTAAACTCTGAAACCCATAACCCTAAACCCTAA